TTGAAAAGCGAACTTGTGGAAATGATCAATAGAGATTATGCGAGTTTCGTGGATCTCTCTACAAATTTAAAAGGTGTGGATAAAGTCATTGAAGAAGTTGCAAGACCATTAGGAAAAATGAGAGAAGAAATTCAGGCATGTTATCATGGCTGTTTAAACAACCTTTAGTATTTCCTTTTACGTCAAATTTGTATATTTTAGAACATTAAATATTAATAAAATATGTTGAATTTCATAGAGCGTTCGCACAACTTTTCAGAATGTCGTGGATTCATTAGAAAATCAATTATCCCACCGGGCCTCCATACGAGAAAAGAAGGTACTGTAATTCTATGGGTGTTTTCCCAACGGTATGTTAAGGTTTATTACAAAAACACATATCCTTTCATACGGATCTTAATTACATTTTTTTATATTAAATACTCCCATAAATAAGGCTTCTTTACAACTCCTTATCAATATCCATGAATCTGTTCGTAAAGTCGAAAATTTATTGTTAATTAGCAGTGAGAGTGCATCGTCTCTTTTATCAAAAGATGATAGGTATTTGTTAGACTCAATTTTTGTTAACCATGAATTTCTAATTATTGATACAAATATCTATATCCCTTGGTAAATAGTGGAAATAGTGCAAAACAAATTGAGCGTGTGGCAATCGAATATAATCAGATGCAATATCTGGTCAGCAAAGGGAAAGATCTGCCTTTTGTGGCGAATATTGACTGGGTAAGTGTAATTTGAGCGAGTGTTTAGTCTAAATATAAATTTAAATACTATCTACCGAATTGTGTAAATTAATTTAGAGGATCACTAGAATAAAAGAGACTTTGCGTACAAATTTATCATCTGCTCTTCGGTCTGCTTTGAACAGAGTTAAAAATCAATCAAACGATGTTGCTTCAAAAGAAACCTTGACCCAAATTTTAAGGACATATGCTTTGATTGACCAAACTAAATCCGCAGAGTCAGTGATAAGGACAGAATTGGTAGCTCCAAGCATCAATGAAGTATGTGATAGTATGATTAATAATTAACTACTGTGTTAATCCATGTTTCTTTATTTTAATCAATAATATTCTTTGTTTTCTTGTCGTTTTAGGTAGTTAGCCAATCAAATCTTGAAAATCAAACACAGCCAATTCCTTATACATCTGCTATATCTTCAACACGTCCCACAAAAGCATCCAAGGCTCACTATAGTTTGCATTATTCCAAAGAACCTTTAGCACTCATGTACAACCGGATTCTTACATTTATCAACACTGATTGGTTTATTCTTTTGGAGATTACAAGGAAAATACTTAAGGGGACTAGTTTTGAAATTTTAGTAAATTCTATGTGGGCTGAAGTAGTAGAATCAGTCACAAAAAAATTGCCGATAATTTTTATCCCAGGAATTTCTAATGTTTTTCATAAGGTAGGCAAAGTATAATAATTAGCTAGTATTTATGTTATTG